ATGCCATCAAAAATGTAGTAGTAAGAAAAATTAAGACTACAATATTTTTTTCTCTATTCGAGTTTATGATTTATTATTGATACTTTTTGTCTATTTGAGTTTATGATTCCCTATAAATAAAATACAATAAAAAGTATAAAATTAACAGTTTTATAAAATGAGTTGGATAGGAAAAATTAATATTTTTCTCAGACTTTCTGTAGAAATAAATCTTTTGAAGATTTCATTTGAAAAAAATAAAATAATACTTTTTGATTTAGAAGAAACTTATAAAGTATTTTCATCAATTTTTCAATTTTCATTTATTTTAAAAAGAAGTTTTGATAAGTCGTGGCTTGCACGCACGCGTGTTTGCGCGTGTAAGTTTTTATTTAAAGATTAAATTTTGTGTATATAGAATGAAATCTTGATATAAATAATATTTTTATTTTTTCCTAAATATTATGTATTTTCAAGATAAGTTTTCCAAAAAAAATTACTTTGATATAATTTTTTGTGTCATATATTTACTCATAAACTAATAGTTATCTAAAATAATTTATGTTGAATGAAATATAATAGAAATAAAATTATATTAAAACACTATTTTTGGTATCACTTATAAGATAAATATTTTTTAATGGTAAAGTCAAATATTTTAATGAAAAATTTATATCATAGATAGAAATGTCAGAGTGAATTTAACCTTGTTGACCCAATCTATCTATAAATATGGAGTAGAGTAGTAACAAGAAGAGCAACAACAACACCAAAAACATCTCTCTAAAATTAAGAAATGGGCCGTAGAAAGAGATCGATAAAACTCAGCCAGAGCAAAAGATCAAGGCTATCTACTTTTTCGAGACGTCAAGCTTGCATTTTTAAGATGGATGATGAGCTTGCCAAGAAGTCTGATGAACTTGCCAAGATGGCTGATGAACTTACCAAGAGGCCTGATGTTGAATCATTCTTCAACAATGTACTTGAACGTCTCATGGGAGAAGAGCCTAAGGAGGTATGTGTCCCATTATTTTTCATATATATATATAAAATATATCTTATGTTTATAAATTCTTTTTGTAAATTTTAGATTTTTAGTAAGAGGAATCAAGAAAATCTTGAGAAGATGACTGTAGAACAGAAAATGGAGGTTTTGGTTGCTTTCAAGGGGAAATTGGAGGCCCTTCGAGCAGAAATATGCAGGGTTGAAGAGAGGAAGGCTTCGGCTTCTCTCTTGATGCTCTCAAGGGAAACAAATGATCCTCGGAACTATGTCGAATAGACAAACATTTCGGAACTATGTTTTTAATTTCAAGACTTTTATGGAATAATTTTGATGGTTGTAATTGAAGGAAGTGTATGTGTCCTTCATCTTTTTTCTTTTTACAAGGATTTTTCATAAGTCCCTTTTTCAATAATAAGACAAGTTTTTTATAATAATTTACAATACATGTGATTATATATATGTTTAAGATAATTTGGCATAAAGTGTCCCATGAGTTTACATATGATTACAATGTCATATCAGTTTTAATAAAATTGAATAATATACAGCTAATAGAGATTGAAAGAGAAGATGCAGAAAAACAGCTGATGAGTGATTGAATAGTGTGAACTCATTTTTTTCTCCGCACCTTCATTTTAAGAAGGTCACACTATTAAGATTTATTCCCTTCTTCTGTGTGTGTGTATATATTTTACCTTTTATAATTGATAAGAATAAAATCAAAGTAATTGATAAGGATAAAATCAAAGTTAATAACCATGTGTTAATACCTCAATTGGTAAAAATCTCTGGCAAAAGCTTAGAGGTCGCCGGTTCGAGTAGCGCTTG